CCCCAAGCAGACGTGTTTTCTGCATCATTTCAAACAAACTTTTTCTGAAGGCAGAATATGCTGCAAAATATGCAAATCTGCTGCAAAATATGAATAATCATGAAACTATTCAGACTTAGGCAGGCTCTCACATGCATTAAAGAGAAGGTTTGAGTCAGCCACTACCCAACAGAACCACTTGCCAGAAACCCAGATGTTCATGTGCTTAATTGTGCTTGGCCGATGGAAGTCAGGCCATGGGCCTAAAAGCAAATTTCTAAAATTGGCCTCAGAGTTCTGTTTCCAGCTCATTAGGTTCTCATGGAGTGTGTGTTTGTGGGAGAATGCCGAGGACACTTAGCAGCCAGGCCATGGGCCTAAAAGCAAATTTCTAAAATTGGCCTCAGAGTTCTGTTTCCAGCTCATTAGGTTCTCATGGAGTGTGTGTTTGTGGGAGAATGCCGAGGACACTTAGCAGCAGACAGACGCTTCCTCGGGAAGGCGGGAAGCAAGGAAGGCAGAGATCGGCAGCCACGGCACGGGGTGCAGAGATTGGGGGAGGCCCCCTCCCTTGTGTGTCTGAAGGACAGTCAGCCCATGGCGGACATGTGCAGGAGGGACCCCTGACTTCCTGGGGGCAGTGTCCACTGGAATCCCTATACTGGGGACTCAGATGTGTGAAGAGGGCCGTTAGAGGAAAAGGGAAGCCCTGGGCAAGTCAGGGAGGCAAGAGATGACTTAGGGGGCTGGCCCCTCCGAAGCATCCCACCCCTTCAAGGAAATTGACAGAAGTGCTGCTGTCCTTATCCTGGAGGGGCCTGGGGCAATCAGCCCCCTCCTCCTGAGCAGAAGGGGACAGGGTGGCAGCTCCAAGACTTACTCCTTACAGAGTTCAAAGTGGAGCTAGGACCTGGTGTCTGAGCCTGCATCTCAGTGTGGATGCTCAGAGGCCAAGGCCTGGGTGACAGGTCATCCTTGGCCTATGTCCATACTCCTTGGGCTTGGTCAGGCTGTGTGGCCTATCTGGTCACCTCCTGATCTGTGAAATGGGGTGGGTGTGCAGACGGCCTCTCCTTCTCTGGTGGCCTCTGTGAGGAAGATTTGTTCTGTGCACTTGATGCACCTGTCCAAAGCGCTTTCTGAGCAAGTTAGATCTTCATGGCTCCTTCACGTTTGTGCTGTTTGCAGGACAAAGCTGTGGTGCTGGGCCTGATTGACACCATTGACACCATCATGGGCCACATCTCTTTCAACCTGCAGGTCGGCAAGCCCCGGGTCACCATCATGGGCTCTTCCTTCATGGCAGGTAGCTGTCGTCGGTACGGGCAGGGCTGCTGTGCAGGGGGAGGAGGGATGGAAGCATGGGGGATGCCACGGACTGCTGCAGTCCTCACTGTCTCCTAAACTATGTGGCCTTCTGCCAAATCACATTTTGAAGGAAAATGCAAGGTTGGAATCAGGTGATGTGTCCGGTCCTGATGTGCACACAGTACCACACAAGCCACACATTTCATGGTGACTTGGAGCCAAATTTGCATTGTGTGACAATTGTCTGAGTTCAGAACAGGTTGAGAAGTATCCTCTCCATTGAGCAGAGTCAGGTTTCCCAGATCCAGCAGGAAGCTGGCTCGATCTCAATGTGTTTTTCCAGGATGGTTGTCACACATTCCCATACAAGCAGAGCACATGACTTTCCTGTTTTTAAAGTCATTATCTAGGGAGCATTATACTTTAATTTTACTAGACTTTAATATATTCGTACAGTGCTGATACTTTATCACGAGAGCCAAGCCTCGGGAAATAATAGATCCATACCAGTTGGTTTTAGTGGTAGTCTTTTGGCTGCGACATCTGCCTCCATGCCAAGATGCACTTGCCTGCCATCTTCAAGGATGGTTTCATTTTTCTGTGTCTTATTGGGTCCCCCAGCCACCCTCAGCATGTGGGGTCTCATTGCCTAATTGAACACAGTCCATCGGCTGAGGACCTGAGGTCTGATGGGCTGCTGTTGGGGACAGAGGGGTCACCTCAGGGATGAGTCCCCATCAGTGTGGGGGCTGTAATGCTCAGCCTCCTGGGGAGAGTTACTTCCCTGGACTCTTTCTCTCTTTTGATGCTGTTGCTTTCTAAAGGTGATTACACCCTCCAGGGGAACTTCTGTTAAAAATAGGAAAAACAGATGGGGTTTTACAGCCCCAATTTCCTACAGCCTGTGGGTTTATCGACTGTGCTCTTCTGCTTTTTGGTTCATTCTTCCCTGCAGAGTTTTCAGTGATCAAAGTCATTCCCAGGGTGATGAATGCCTCCCACTACCGCTTCCCGGCCCGAGGGCAGAGCTACATCGAGATTCCCCATGAGGCCTTCCACAGCCCAGGTGAGTCCTCCAGCCCCCTGACCCATCTGCAGCACCTGAGATGTCCTCAGTGCTAATTCCTGCTCAAGCCGAGCCTGCTGAGCCAGAATGTGGGGCGGGGTGTGGGGACCTGCATTCAAAGCATGCCCACCATGATGAAATGAAGGACGTCTTGTGTCCTCCCCATTCTGTGCAGCTCCTGGTTCCTGAATATAAATAGCCGGGGCCTCTCCCCTCCCCGCTCAAGCCTGCATTCAAAGCATGCCCACCATGATGAAATGAAGGACGTCTTGTGTCCTCCCCATTCTGCGCAGCTCCTGGTTCCTGAATATAAATAGCCGGGGCCTCTCCCCTCCCCGCTCAAGGTGGTGGCTGGCACAAGGGTTGTCTGCTCAGGGACCCCAGGTTCTACTCCTCTGCAGGCCAAGTCAAGTCTCGTCTGTTTTTGCTGCAATGACCTTTGTCCTCTCTGGTCCCTGGAAAAGTGAACATGCCCTTTCAGGCATCTCCCTCTCTCCTGGGGGGCCACAAGCCATCAGGGTAGAGCTGTGGATCCTTACCCTTGATACCTGGCTCTACCCTAGAGAAGGGGACCAGGCCAGCCTGGGTCAAAAATCTCCCTTCCTCCAGCCAGGAGCCCACCTCTGCTCCCTCTGCTGTCGTGTCAGGGTCCCCAATTGGCCTCCTGCCCTCATCTGTCCGTGACTTTAGGGGTGCCCTGCTGGCCTGGCACATGACCTTTCTCTTCCCACTTCACCTGGCTGCATGGTTCATTAGAAGAGCTCAGAGCCCGAGACCCATATTCTCTACACATGGAAACTTCTCACACTTAGCAGCAAAACTTATCGGTCACAAGCACCGACTCTGAGGCTGGGATTTCTAGGCTGGAATCCTGGTTCTGCAGCTTACTGGCTGCATGGCCTTGGGCAAGTTACCGAAACTGCTTGTGCCTTAGTTTCCTCATCTGAAAAATGAGTACAATATTAGTACCTGCCTCATAATATTGTCATGAGAATCGAATGAGCAAGGCACACCTGGCATGTAGAACATGCAACATAAACTGTTAAACACATTCCTGAAATTCTAACATACTTCACAAATATGCCCTAAGAACTCAGAGTCAGCTGAAGTCTTGCTCCTGCAAGTGTCCTCTGTGAAGCCAATGGAGTGAAATGATAATAGAATATGTGTCTCCTGTTTCAAAGTTGTGACATAAGAGACAGGTGGGACCCAGCACGGGCATAAGGATGTCTGGCCGGCCGTTGCCCTGCTCAGGTGGAATGTGCAGTAAATACCCTGTCTGCAGACAGCAGACAGGGCATGCTTGTGGCTGCAAGGCTGTGGACTGGCACTGCCCACAGAGGCTCCATCACTTCCCTGGCAAGTCTGGCTCTCGGGAGCTGCAACACATGAGTGTCTGGAGCTGGCACATGGAACGGAGCAGGGAGTCCTTGTCACAGTTGAGTGCACAGCTAGGTAGACACAGAATCTGTGTCCTTGCTGACTCTGCCCAGGTGTCCTTCATTTCCTTCTCCTGGGAGGAGCTGCCCAGGCTCTTGGGGTGAGGGACTGCGCTGTGCACGGCTGGGCAAGGAGTTCTGCATCTTCCTTCTTTGTCACTGAGAGTGCTGATGAGTATCTGTGCCTCTGCTTTCTCCCCAGGCTGGACCACCATTGTGGGCCTGTTCTACCACTCCGTGCACTATTACTTGAACAACATTCAACCCGCCAAGACCAAGTGAGTGTCTCGGGCAGCACTGCACAAGGGGCGTGGGCATGTGTGCACGTGTGTGCTGGGCGGCTGATCATGGCAACACCCCCCACGAGCCGTCATGCTACATGCAACATCGTGTCACAGAACTCTTGATGCCAGCGCCTGCAGCTTCACTATCAGGGAGAGTGCCCAGCCCTCTGAGGAGACTTGGGCACTGCTGTATGGGGGTTGCCTAGGCCTGGGTTTGGCCGACAGTGAGTGGGCAGGAACACAGGCTAGGAGGTCCCATCTGCCCCTGGGGCCTAACCGTGTGACCTTGTGCTATGAGTGGAACTCTGCGAGCTCTTCTGTCAGCTTAGCTGGTAACTAAGACCCCAGAGGCCACTGAGGCCCAGGCAAAAGAACATCGTGGGAGTCCATATGCACAGGTCCCTTCGGGGCCTCGCTGTCGGGGGTGGGTTGCAGGCAAGGCTTTGATGACACAGCCACAGTGTGAAAGTTTAAGAGTGTTTAATACTTACAGACCCTGGAGGCCACACACATGGAGGTCAAGAGTGCAGGAAGGGGAGAGGAACCCATGGGCCAGTGCCTTTACTGGGCCCAGGACATCATCCACACAAGTTTCCCGTGGGAAGTTTAATTGGTGGGCTTAGAGCAAGCAGGCATGTGTTCCAGGGGGTCACACTGTGCCTGGGATGTGGTCACTGTGGCATATCTGCATACTCCAGACAGTTGTGGGGGTCAGCAGGGCAAGTCAGGCAGCCTGCATCCAGCCATCCCATAGGGAGGTTGTCAGCAGGAGGCGCTGTGTAAGGCAGGTGTCTGGATCAGCCACATTGAAGAACTGGGAGGCGGTGGAGAGCCAGAAACCATGTCACGGGTGACCAAGCCCTGCTACTGACATGAGAAAGTCCATCTTGTATTGAAAATGATGCTGAGGCAACATAAATTACAAGCATTCACTACACCTTGAACAAGTACCTTAACCTCCCTGAGCTTCAGTTTCCACTTCTGTAGAATGGGAAGACAACAGACCTGCCTACATCAGTCGGGAATGTGGTGGACACATGTGGGTAAAGCCAGCTCACATCAGCTTAACAGAAGTCCAGGGAAACTGGGAGCTCACGGGACTGGAAGGGCAGGAGCAGGTGGGCTTCAGGCACGGCTAGACCCGGGGACCTAGAAGATGCCATCTAGACCTGGTCTCATTGTCTCCTGCCTCTGCCGTCCTTGGTGTTGGCTCATGTCCAGGAAGGCCCCTTTGTGGAGGCAGAGCTGGCTGCTGCAGCTTCAGGCTCACATGGGTTTGGGTCCTGAGATCCCAGAAGGAGAGCAAGCCTCCTTCCCAAAAGCTCCTGCAGAAACCCAGGGAGGGCTGTGATTGGCCTGCCTGGGTCATGTGCCCATCCTGAGCCCCCCTCAATTGTGGTGGCCAGGGATCCTGTTCTCTCATTGGCCAGATCTGCTCACATGACCCCCAGGTGTTGGGGTGGCTCAGCCCTACGTTGACCACAGGGAGGGGCAGGTTCTCACAAAGAGAGCAGGGCAAGTAGACACACCACCAGCCTCCCTGGGCAGGGGCAGGGGAAGGGCCAGAGCCCAGGCTGGGGCCAGAAGAGGGCCTGGGAAGGAAACGCAGCTCAGAGTGAGCTGCACAACCCCTTTACCCCTTCCAACCCCAATGGGGCTTCATTTCCTTCCCTGTTGGGCCCGAGCCTGGGAGAACTGAAGGCTGGGGAAGGGCAACTGCGTGTTTGGGGTCTCTGCTGATGGGCAGGCACTGTGGGGTGAGTCATGGGCACTGGCTGTGGGACCGACGCTGAGACTCATTTGTGATGGAAAGTGGGCAGCAGTCATAACCCTAACAGAAAATGATAAATGAGAAGTAACTTCAGCGGCGCAAATGCCTGAGCTTGTATCATGTGTTCTCAGGTGACGCTCCTCCCCAAATTGCCCCTCCTCCCCAAATTGCCCCGTGTGAGGGAGCTCCTGGAACATAGCCCGTGGGGTGAGGGTGGGCAGGGGAGAATACAGTCAGTTTTGCTTCGACCTGGAAGAAGGGCCGTCTTCTGGGTCTGATTTCCCCAGGAAAGCCTGCACCCTTGCAAGTTTCCTTATAACCAAAGAAGGGAGTGGGGGGAGAACCATCACTCTTTGTGCATGATTCCAAAGTTCTTCAGAAAAACTGGCCAAAGGAAAACACAATCTGTTTTCCTCAAAAAGATGCCCTCTTCACTCTTTGGGGAAATTTTTCCAGATCCCAAATCACAAATGAAAAAAAATTGACCCATCCTCAGCCCCTCTCTGGCAGTTCAGACGTGAAACGTGCTCACGTGGACCAGGGTGAGAAGGAGCAGGGGACATGCTATCTGTACCACCACCTACAGCTCTCCCCCACCCACACCCCAAAGAAAAGGCAGAGAATCACCTACAGATATCAGTACACACACATGTGAGGGGGAGATTCACCGTGGCCAAGTGGAATCAGGACCCCAGCCAGGTGCTGGCAGTTCTTTCATAAAGGGCCAGATTGCAAATATGTCTGGCTTTACAAAACTCTGTTCTTCCACATGAAGGCAGCCACAGACAATATGTAAAGTTCTGGGAGCGGTGAGCTCCAGTACAGCTTTACTTATAAAACCAGGCAGCTGGCCCTAGGGCCATCGTTTGCAGACCTTTCTAGACACTGCCCTATATCAGTGCTAGCAATGGTGGGGTGGAGATGGGAGGCTGAGCGTGGCTGGCTTTGGGGCGTCCCAGGCCCTACTCGAAGCTCTGCAGATGGTGCTGTTTGGTCTGTCCCAAGGGCTTCACTCTCAGTTTGCAGACCTTTCTAGACACTGCCCTATATCAGTGCTAGCAATGGTGGGGTGGAGATGGGGGGCTGAGCGTGGCTGGCTTTGGGGCGTCCCAGGCCCTACTCGAAGCTCTGCAGATGGTGCTGTTTGGTCTGTCCCAAGGGCTTCACTCTCGCCCTCCCTCTGCTGTCTTCACTACCCAGGCCTGCAGAACCCCATGACTCAGGCCACCGCAG